ACCCCCGGACAGACCCTCACGGATCCCCAAGGACCCCTATGAACCCCCAAAGAGCCCCCATGGACTCCCACAGACCCCTATGAACCGCCCCCACAACCCCAAGGAAGCCCATGGACCCCAATGACCCCAATTTTTACATTCTAAGATCTTTTCTATAATACAGAATCACAGAATCATAGAATCCTTAGAGAGATAGGGTTTTATTCTGAACTCCTTTTATATACAGAAATAATATTTTTTCCATCTATATGTAAACGAGAGATTTTTCTCTATTTCAACACCTCACATTGGTATTTACGGGTTTTGTTATTTTTAAATACCCCACTATGACTTTTCAGGCATTTTGGAGCTGTGACCCCCCCTCTTTTAGGGGGGGAACCCCCCCCCATGACCTCACATCCCCAACTCACCTGCTCCTCTGCTCATCATCACCCCCTTTGGTGATGCTGGGGTGCCCTCAAATGATCACTCCTTAAATATCCCTCCTTTTTATTCACCCCAAAAAGACAGCACCGAATGACCAGACGGAAAGATGGTCCCTTCCCCTCAAACGGCTCCACCACCGGCTGCAAACCTGGGCTGGGGCATCTGTGGAGCAGCACAAGACACGTACCTGGAAAACAACAATCCCCAGTTATAGTTCAGCATCATAAAACAAAAACAGCACAGAAGAGAGGAATTCCCTCAGACTGAGAGACAGGACAGTAGCTGAGCTACGGGGAGGATTCTGGGGAAACAGCTCAGCTTGAAATATGGCACATCCTTGAAAAGCCAGAGCGACCTCAACCCTAAAAGTGAGTATTAAGACTAGCTGATGTCATTTTCAGAATCACAGAATCTTCTAGGTTGGAAGGGCCCTTAAAGATCATCTTGTCCAACCATCAACCTAACTTTGACGAAAATAGACACCCACACAACAAACAAGGAGCATCATCACTAAACCAGCCCTCCCAGCACCACATCAACCCGTCTTTTGAACACCTCCAGGGATGGGGCCTCAACCACCTCCCTGGGCAGCCCAGTCCAATGGCTGAGAACCCTTTCAGTGAAAAATTTTTTCCTAATATCCAGCCTGAACCTCCCCTGGCGCAACTTGTGGCCATTTCCTCTTGTCCTGTCACCTGTGACTTGAACGTGTTCTTAGTGTGACAGTGAACCTCCTGGTTAGTGCAAACACCTGGCCCCTTCCTCCCTGCGAGAGGCAGGACCAGGCTGTGCCCCGACTGGAACTGACGCTGATGAACCCACGGGTGCCGCTACAGCCCTCACACCGCTGCTGCTCACCTCGCTCACTTGGGTCAACACAGCTGAGGGGGAAGGGTAAAACCTCGAAGAGCACAAGGAACAATAAAGTATTGTGTGCAGGTCTGGAGCCCTCAATATAAGAAGGACATGGACCTGATGGAGAGGGTCCAGAGGAGGGCCACAAGGATGATCAGGGGGATGGAGCACCTCTGCTACGAGGACAGGCTGAGGGAGCTGGGGTTGTTCAGCCTGGAGAAGAGGAGGCTCCGGGGAGACCTAATAGCAGCCTTCCAGTACCTGAAGGGGCCTACAGGAAGGCTGGGGAGAGCCTGTTTAGAAAGGCCTGCAGTGACAGGACGAGGGGCAATGGCTTCAAGCTGGAGGGGAACAGATTTAGACTGGAGATGAGGAGAGGGTTCTTCACTGTGAGGGTGGTGGAGCACTGGAACAGGTTGCCCAGGGAGGTGGTTGAGGCCCCTTCCCTGGAGATATTCAAGGAGAGGCTCGACGAGGCCCTGGGCAACCTGGTCTAGTTGGGGGTGTCCCTGCTGACTGCGGGGGGGTTGGACTAGATGGCCTTTGGAGGTCCCTTCCGGCCTGGGCAATTCTATGATTCTATGATAAAGAACAAAGCTCAGTCGTTCACTTCATGCTGAGAAGGCGTGCCCGTCTTTATAAACATTCAAGAAAAAGACTTATACCATAAAAGTATTTTATTTTCCTTTGGCACTAATTGAGCTTGCGCAGCTGTGCGTTGATACCATTACACTATCCATCTCCAAACCACACATTTGTAATTTGACTGTGTGGGGTTTTTTGTGCTACACAACAAGGAGGGGCATCTGGCTGGTGGCACTGTCTGAGAGATGCCACCAAACTGCCACAGAAATGCCCTACTGGAAGCCAGACAGAAATAAAGTACTTCAGAGCACTCCGTCTAAATATTGGGGAAAAAACTGTAATATTCAGTTGCCTCTCTTTTCAAACATGGACACCAAATACCTCACTGCTTAAGTACTCCTAACACATTGTATGCTAGAGCTATTTGGCAGTTGCAGTTTAAACAACACAAATCAGTTTGTAAATTACAAAAGGCAACTGCTCTGAATGAGAAACATTTCCATTTTGGAAAAAATCTCTTTCCAATTGACATCAAAATGACACCCTCTAGGTTACAGAAAAAGGACATTACTGGAAGCAACAACTCACCAAAACCACATCAGGACTCGCCGTCACAAGTCAGGAGGCTGCTGATGCTTCATGGAAGAGCCTAGAAAACACACAGAAGCGACACCATTTTGTCCCATTTAGTCCATGTGTCCTCTTTGACCTCACTGGCTTTTAGGACAGATGCCAGTATCTCAGTAAGGTTTTTGAGCATTACTGTAGGATATTCCAAACAGTTTTTATCGTGAAAACAAAGTCTGTTTCTTCTGAATATCTGCACTCTAACGAACAGTTTCTTCCCTCTTTTTGTACAAAATTATTTTCATGGTATCACTTAACAATAAGCACCCAGAAAGACAAGATTATGTTTCCAAGAAGAGAAAACAAGGGGAGGGAAGTGAGCTTTGTGTGGGCACGACAAGGTCCAGAACAGACCTTATTTACATTAACTTCAAAGTCCAAGCTACAGGGACCTTCACACACACTTCCCAGCTCAGGGCTCCCCTCAAGCCAACCTCCATTACTTCTGCAGGCCCCCCGCCCCCCCCAGCCCCCTAAAATCCCCCCTCAGCCCTCTCGCTGCCCCATTCC